TTAAACATTGTTCAAAAGATAATATCTCTCATGTTGAACCAAAACTCTACTATTCCTTGGTGTTTACACCTTATTATAGCCGATTGCAAGAGTTTTTTTGTGTAAATTTAATCATGTAGGCTGTGTTTGGTTTGAAGGAAAAGTAGGGAAAAGAAAGAAAAAATAGAAAAACCTTTATAAACCTTATATGAGTTTTTCTACCTTTCTCTTCCTTTTCTTACCTTTTCTTTTAAACCAAACATAACCGTAGTGATCTACTTTACAGAAAATAATGCGTCTTATAGTTTAACTAAAAGGGCATGTACTGTATCTAGAACCTATACTTGGTCCCTTTCCCCAGATTCTGAACAATGAAGTAGCCTTGGGCTTTGTTCAAAAAAATAATAATAATAATAAAAAAATTGCTAGCCTGTCAGCACATCGATTTGATTCTCTAAAGCAATGGGTGAAGGCAATATCTTTTCATAGTTTGAACAAAGTTTCAACTCTCCAATTTAACTTGTTAGCCATACTACGTACATTAAGCATCATCTGATTCGTATTTGCATTTTTTTAAAACATTTGCTTACAGCTCCATCATTTTGAACAGTTCGCTCAACTGTTTGGGTAAATAAATTATTGCCCTAGTTAATGGCTTTTCTAAATAGCAAGTTAAAGTTGTACCCGAATCAAGATTTTAATTGGATATATAACTGCTCTGACCGTCCATGTCAATGATGGGTTGGAATAAGACCGTACACACATCATATTCACAGCTATATTTTTATTCATTGAGAGATATTTCTAATATTTACATTTCTAATATCTTGTGAGGATTGAATCCGAATTTCAGGATTTTAAATTTAGACAGGACCCTATAGTTGGAGGCGTGGAGCACAATAACCCGGAATTTTAGACTTTTCGATTTTTGAAAAGCTGGCTAACTTTGTCAGCAACCTGCCATAAGCGCATCACAATTGATGATACTTGCCTTTGTTTCACATTTGGCCAAACCAGAATATTTTAATAGCATCATGAAATGTTAATGTTTATAAATAAGGTTTGATTATGATAGATGAAAGACATAGTATCAAAAACTATATATAATCAATCAACCGGTATCATAAAAAACATGATCAATCAGGAGACATTATCAAAATTCATGAAATTCATGGGTATACTAAAAAATCTTTTAATACCATGTCTTTTTGGTATCATAAATTTTTTCTTATAAATAATGATTATTTAAATATATTTAATCGTTAAGACATTTAAAGAAATACATAAAATAATAATTCAGAATCAAAGTATTTCTTTTAACCGTTTTGTCTTGCAACATGCATGGCACATGCCTTACACTACAGCATATAGTTATATTTCATCACGTCATCTCCATGTATCAAAATTTTGATTAAGTTGTGTAGAAAGTAGAAACTCTCTATTTGATTTAACAAAGAATCTATTTTTTTTTCAATATTTTTTAGGCAAATGCTAGCGTGTGTAAAAAGTTTTTTTTCCTCATATGATGTGAAAATAATCATGAACCCCACCCACCCTATGAATTTGTATGTTTCTCACTTTACTTTCATGCAATATGTTAGGAGTTCACATTGGTGCCAACGTGCACATCACAGCATGCATTGAGAGCATCTCTTGTAGTTGCCATTGGTGGTGTTTACGGGTCGGTTTGAGTCATTTTCTTCAACCAGCCCAATCTAGTCACTTTACTTATTGAATAAATCAAAATTGATCGACCATGAAGCAAAACCGACCCAAACATGAAGGGCCAGTTTGGGTTGATTTATCGGTTTAGTTAGTTTATATGACAATTAAAATAGTTAGTTTTAAACAATACAATGTGAACACCCCTAGCCGGTTTGGCTCCAAGACTCCAATAGGCAACATGCAAAAATCGAAGACTCCAAGTATCCAACAATCACTTAAACAGTCCAACGTGTTTATAGTAATAGATATTTATTTAACCTCTCTTTTTTTCTCTTTCCAAAACTGAAGAGTGAAGACTCCAACAGTCCAATGAGTCTATCCATTCCAAGACTCCTTGACATCAATGCTTGCTAAACCCAAAAAGATAATAAATAAACTAATAAAAGTAATAAATAATTTTACTTAAATTTAAAGTTAATTATGATAAGGAGTTGGGAAGAACTAAGGAGTACTAACTAGGGACTAATTAATAATTATTTAAATATATAGGGTTGGGTTGGATTGGCTCGCTTTCGGTTTTCATACTGAAACCGAACCGAGTTGTTAGTTTATTTTTTCACACAAACCGAAACTGACCAGTGGTTTTGAAAAAACGACCAACTCAGGTTGGGTCGGGCTAGTTTGGTCGGTTTGACATTTAATGTGAACTCCCTTAGTTGTCATTGAGAGATGTTTCCAATTAGGGGTGGAAATGAATTGAGTTTTTCACAAGCTATTCGAACTTGGCTCATGGAAAGCTCGATTTGGCTTGATTTAAACCAAGCTTCAAGCTGAATTCGAGCTTGGTATATAGGCTCGTATATTAATCGAGTCGAGCTCAAGTCTAATGAAGCTTGACTCGTGAACCTAATATATATAATAAATAGCTTTTATTTTATGTATACGTACATACATACATACATACATACATACATACATACATATTATATATAATATTGTTATTTTTTATGTATAACAATAACTAATTTTTATAATTCTTATTTTTTGTATGTAAAATAAAAATATCACTTCATATGTATAATTTTTATTTTTTATAGGAAGCTTGGTTTGCTATCAAGCTCGAGTCGAACCAAGCTCAAACTTGTGAGCTTTTGAACCGAGCCAAATTTAAGCTTAAGTCTTTAGCTTGAATCAAACTCGAACCTAACATTGTTTCGGTGAGTCGAGCTCGAATAACCAGGTATTCGGCTTGGCTTGACTCAAATCCACCTATTTCCAATACACGGTTGGGATGTGCTATATGGAACACACTCTTTAGGGCATAGATGCAAGTTCATATGTTATATTTCTGTAACTTTTACAACAAAGTTCTGTTATGTGTGTTACATGAGAATAACTTTTTCAACTTTGTCCACACATTCTCTCTCTCTCTCCACTTATTTTCTTGCACTTTTCTCATATCTCTTTTCTATCTTATTTGAGTTAGGATATGCTCCCAACATTGTTCCAACAGATCATTGTAGCTGCACATTAAGAACATTTCCCTTATCATTCATGAAAAGATATTCCGATGTACCGTTACAATGGTTGGTTGGGATATTATTGGCACTGTGTTAGTAGCTGATTCGAACTCAACCAACGTGTATGTGATATGCGTATCAAATCATATTGGCTTTGTTTGGAAAAGATGTAAATGGAGTGTAAATCCCGATTCAGGGTAAATTTACACTCTTGATTCACTTTTGCCTGTGTTTGGCAACATTACATTTATGCATTGACAAATTACAAACCAATGCATATTTACATTGATAATAAGATGTAAAATTACATCACTAAAAAATAAGTAAATTTGCATTCAAGTGGGTTTTTGATAAAAAAAAAAGAATATGCTTTATTGGAATTCATGTTTGCATCTATTACAACTAAAAATCTGTTTGGTAAGAAGGTAAAATCGTCAGTGCAAAATTAACCCAAATCGAGACTCATATTTGCATTCACACTTATTTGCATCGTTTCTAAATGCATCCATTAGAACATATTTAGTTGGAGCAAATTGAGACTCATTTTCTTGCACCACTGAACTATATAATTAAACCAATAATAATTAAAAAAATGGAAAGGCATATAAGACAAACTACAGTGCATTGAATTTGAATTCGCATGCTCACCCACAGAGAGTGCACCCCGCATGCACATCTTCAGTGGGAAACATTTTTTTGTACTTCATCGAGAGATGATCCCAATACATGATTGGGATGTGCTGTGTGGCAGTAATGCATCCCACAAACGCCCCTCAGCACGAGATCGGATCTGCTCCTTACATAGGGCGCTTCACACTGATCTCACAGATACATCCCACCATGTATTAAGAACATCTCCTATACTTATGTGTTATTATTTTTGGGAGGTGTTCCCATACATGGTGGGATGTACCTGTGAGATTGTTGTGAGGTGCCCTGTGTGAGGAACAAATTCCAATTCCTGCAGCACCTCCCACTCCCAGCCATGTATTCGAATTATGAACATGAATACGTGATAGGGAGATGCAAGTTCAGATCTGTGCCCTACAACGTTCTACAGCATATCCCTGTCGTGTATTGGAAATATCTCCCGATGATGGCATCATCAGGTCTAATACTATCACCGAGAGATATTCTCAATACGAGACTGGATCTATTCCTCACAATTGATGCCTCACAAGCACCTCGCACACACATCCTGTCATACATTGAAAACACCTCACAGCAGATCCCGTCACTCTCAATACAGGGTCTCCCCTTAAGGGGCGCAGATGTGAAAGCGGGAGATGCTCCTAATATACGGTGAGATGTTACATGTTGGGACGCTAGTGGGGAGCCCCCCTATCTCTGATGTATTCGTTTTTTATCATTAAGTGGCGATAAACAAAATCCTGGATACGGAATATACCATCCATCCATCGCCCATCGGCGCAGGAAGATAGTATAAAATCGCGGGGCATAAATTATTACAATCCCAACCTTTTCTTATAAAGAAATAAATATATAAATGACTGCACCCCCAAAGTTAGGCACAACTATAAGTAAAAGAGTCTTTTAACGACAATGAACGTTGCAACAGCAACACAGCATCATCAAGTATTCTAGTTGCAAAATGGAAACTGACTTTGGCCTTTTTATCACTTTCTTCTTCTCTAACATAATGCCCAAACGAAGCCATCAGATGACTAAAATGCCCCTATAATTGAAGCAATTTCATCTTCGTTACGTGATACCTGACAGTTAGAAGAACATGGCCCTAATGCACACGCTAATTAACACGTTTTGCAATTATACCATGCAAATATGGGTAGTTTTGTACTTTGAAGAGTAGAAAAAAAAAAAAAAGAAGAAGGGAAAAAAACCTCCCGCCGTTTGTTTCAGCGAGTCTTGCGAAACGTAGACTGGTTTTTGAATGTGCTCATTTATACCGGCAAGGCATAAAAGGAGAGAGAAAAAGGGCCGACCTCTCTGGATCGGTCGGAAGCTGTACTCAGCAAAAGTCGCAGCGTTTGAAGGTCGTCGGCGATGAAAGGCAAAGGTAGACCATGGAGTCTCGGGAAAAAGGTAGGGTTGCCGGTCGTCTTCCTCTCATGCTCTGTTTTTTTCCTTGCCGGCTTCTTCGGAGCCATGCTTCTCTCTCAGGTAATTTCTTCTTCTTTTGCTTTGTTATCGAATTCTTTGGAACTCACTGTTCCGAATTGCTTTGGGTTGACTCTTCCATCGAACACTCGCAGGACATTTCCAGCTTCCGACCAAATTCGAGGACACTCGAATCAGTCGATGATGAAGAGTACGAGTCCATGCCACACGGCTATACTGGGGAAAGTTCTATTGATTCGATCCCCTTTCAGGTGCTCAACCTTCTCCAACCACCACCTATATCACCATTTTTGGTAGGCTGGTAACGAATACAACGATTAATGTGCTAAAAGCGGGTCAGGAGTGAATTGGATTTGTAGTTTCAAATTTGAACTCCTTCACTTATGCACTAGATATTGCATTATTAGATTACGGGTTCTCTTTCTTTGAACCTCTGAATTTGTTTTTCTTATTATTCTTTTTTCCCCTTTTGATTCTTAGCTGTCTAAATAAATAAGAGAGAAGGGAGGGAGGGAGCTTAATTTATATATGTACTATGTACCATTCTAAACTTCTCTCCGACTTTCCTTTTGGACCCCGGCCACAGATCAATTGAAGTTGGGGTGAATGATATTGTTCAGCACAACGTCTCCCTTAGCTCATTGTTGAACAATAAGAGCGAATGTTCTGTTTCTTTTTTGTTTTACCTATTTCAGTCTTTTGGAAGTATCGGAATCCCGATTCTCTATCATTACGCTATATATTCCTTTTCCTTTGGCATTTGTGGCTTAAAGATGTAGTTCTTAGTGGTATTTCCAATTCCTTGTTCCCTTGGACAGAGATATTGCATGTCTTCATCTCATGGAGAAAAACATTCATTTCGTATTTTAAACATTTGATCCATTAATGATCCTCTATTAGGTTCTTTATATATAATTCCATTGTTGTATTTGAGAAAAAAAGAAAAGGATATCTGAGTATACTCTATTATAGTCCTTGTATATGCCTTGAGGCCCTGAGGGGGCTTCCCTCTTCATGGTAATACATAATACACTTATAGAAAAATGTGAATACTAATGCTGGATGGTAATAATAATAAAAAAAAAACTGATGGTGGATGGTCTTGTAAAATTCTGCTAATCTTCGCTGTAGAATATGGATGGTTCCACTTGACTACTACTTATTCTTCATTTCTATTTCTACTATGACATTTGAATAGTGGATCTACCTATAGGTATTTGTAGTTTTCATGTGTATCAGAGTTGGAGGTATTCTAATAGTCTTAAGGCCCTTAAATAATTTTTAGTTGTTTGCTGCTTCTGTTATCAACTCTTTTTTTGAGAAAGAAGTAAGGTATTGTGTTAAAATTATACTGTAATGAACAAATAACATATATCGATCCAGTATGCTCCATGTACAGCCAGCAACTATACAGACTTACGGAGAAGCCACCCAAAGAAGCTAGGCTCTCAAGGCTAAATACAAAACACAAACTTTGACATTAGATAAACAAAATGCCATGATCAAAATACTGATGATGTGGGATATATTTGAAGAAATCTTTGGCAGACAACCAAGAATGCAGAGTAGCTATAGCCTGAACCACCACATCATCTAAAGAGCAAAACTTTCCTTCAAAAATCCTTCCATTTCTTTCTTTCCACAGACCCAACACACCACGTGAGGAATAGCATACCAAAGCACCTTGCCTCTTCCACTTAAGCCCGGCAACTTCCATGAGAGTAATAAATCAGGCAGACACCAGCTGGCATTTAATAGGGAACAGCAGTGACTGAATAGTTTTTCAGCAGCATTACAATGAATGAACAGGTGATCAACAGACTCGGCTTCCTTGTTACACATGACACAGTTCAGAGAGTCCAGCACCAAACCTCTCTTGGTCAGCTGATCTTTAGAGAGACATTTACCATGAGCTGCCGTCCAAACCAAGAAGGAGACCTTAGAAGGAATGTGAGAGAGCCATACCTCTTTCCACAGAAAAGCCTGAGAGTCACCAGCAACCGGCTTCTGTTATGATCTCTTATTCTTGTTTCCATGTCAATGTTTCAACAAATGAGTTATTAGTCCCATTGGTGCGTACCAGAGTTAGAATTATGCCAAATATCCTTCATAACTGACAGCTATGCTTGGAGCCTCAAGATTCTTCCTTTTTTCTCCTTGAGTATTAGAACAACTTCACTTTTTACATGGTTTACATCAGACCTTCATGCCTTTATCTAAAACCATTTTAATCATGCAGTGATGAATTCATCACATCTCATTCTCATCTAATTTGGTATTAGTAGTTGCAATTTCCTTTATGTTCTCATGATTGCATTTTAGTTTATCTAGTAGCTAGGTCTGATTCTTCTTCCAGAAAATCTACTTGTAGGATTTTTTCTGCCATATTTTACTATATCTTTGTGCCTTGTAACTTATTACTGTAGGTTTTAAGCTGGGCACCTCGTGCTTTATATTTTCCTGATTTTGCCACTGCAAACAAATGCCAACGCATAATTGAAATGGCAAGGGCCAACCTTAAACCCTCATCGTTAGCTTATCGAAAAGGAGAGAATGCTGAAAACACCAAAGGAATAAGAACAAGGTAACTTCTTTCTACTATTTGCCTGTACCTTTTCTGTTGGGCCCATAAACATGTAATTTTCAAGATAGGCACAGAGGTTGTCTACAGTACCAACCAAGATTTATTCCACAAGAGATTTTAAATACATTAAAAGAAACTGAGGCAATTAAATACTGAATTTTCTCATACTTCAATAGGGGGGATGAAATCTATAAACAGACAGATTTTAATTAAGAAAAAATTACAAATAAGCACAACCTTATATGCAAAAGTCAAACAGCCTACAAGGTCTGATATTGTGACTTGTATACCAATATATTCAGCAATTTAACAACAGGAGTGGGATATTCTGCTAATCATTACAGAAGTTACTACATTTCATTCCAGCAATAAGTTGGGGACAAGGAGAATATTTTCCACCCAATACCTGCAATTATTGAATTCACAATGATTCTCTGCCATAAAAAATCTGTTGTTTCCTTCTTTCTGAATGCACTGGAAGACAATGGTTAGGCCAGGTTTCATGGAAGATGGCTTGTTTACTAAAACCTCTCATTGGATAAGCTTGAATCATGGAAAATATGCTTCCTGGCTTCACCCTATTGTCCCCCAAAAGGCTTGTGATAAAGGAGAGAGGAAGGTATAAGACAGTTATCAAAAAGACCCAGTGATGCAACCCAGCACAAGACTCAAGAGACAACAAAAGATTCCACAGGAAGACGGATAACCTGGCTAAGCAGTATTCCAACGAGTCGCTCCCCATCCTCCCCTAGCTAGGATTTCAATTACCAATTTAGCAAATCCTGAGATCCATCGGAATGATCTTCACTTTGGATGCCAAAAAATAAACACACCATCATTTACTTATGTGCTAGTTTTGCACGTATTGTCACATTTATCTAAGCCTTCTACTGCTATCTAATAGACATCAATAGCATGATTCCAGCATGGTATCTAGTTTTTCCGTTACAGGTTTGATGTTGATGGAAACAAGTAATGTTTTTAGTTCTGTAATATATTTTGCTAAAGCATCAAATTTATGCATTTTATATAAGTTGGTAGTTGTTGGCTCATGTGTTTTTTCATAACAGTTCAGGAACATTTATTAGTGCATCAGAAGATGAAACTGGAACCTTAGACATCATTGAGCAAAAAATTGCAAAGGTTACAATGATTCCGTGGACCCATGGAGAGGTATGTTTTAAGAAAAAAAAGGCACTTCTTTTGAACACACACACACACAGATATATATATATATATAATCCAGCTGAATTAGGTTCTGTAGAGAAGTTAATGCAATTTTGGCCTTGTGGACAGATGATATGGTCAATCCAGGCTGTCCTTTCAGATAGGGATGGGACATCTGGAATGTCTGGAAATCAAATGGACAGTCTGGTTCCACCATATCATCCCAACTTGTGCTGGAAAAATGCCTTTTGGCTTTAGACCCAATGATAACAGAAAGAATGCATCGACTGCAATTCAAATAAATATTTCTTTAAAATTTTTCTAAGCTATTTAAATCTTCAAGCAAGCAACAAAACATTATATTCTAGGAAAAATGTGGAAATCTTACTATGTTGAAAATCTATTAAAATAGTCCGTTTTTAGGACTTTACTAGATTAATGATTTCATTGCCATCCTCATCGTCACTGTGATGTCATCACTATGTACTCAGGTCCAGTGGGGTTGTTTCTTGCTTAGTGGAAATGCTCCTGTCAATTCTTGTTAATTTGTTGTGGCTCAACATTTGATTTGCCATGTTCGTGGTTTCTAGCGTTTGTCTCAAACAAGAAAGGATGGAAGAATTGATTAAGTTCTTTAACTAAATGAAGATGGTTTGGTGGCATACAAAAAATTTAATACATGATAAAAGGTTACTCTATCCTTTTCCACCACCTTTTATGCTAATTGAAGTAAGTTGTAACTCGACACTTGTTTCTCAGGGATCACTAATGAACAGGAAGGGACAATCATACCTCCGTATTTTCTTTTCATCTTAATTGGTTAATCAGAGAAAGAGTTTAAGATATGCGTGCTTCCAGGCCACCTAAAATCCTATTAGTGCATTGATCATTGGCTGTTAGAATAGATTATAACTGACTCAGCTAATCTATGTCAAATAGTTGTAATATATTCAATTGATTGAACTAAGTGATTAAATGAAATTGGAGACAATAAGATGCAAGGTCCTATTCTTGAATGTAATCTAACACCATTTGGAACTTGTATCTTTTAAGTTTTTTTTAATGATTCTTATATTCAGTCACTTGTTTCTACTTTGGTTTGAATTAGTTAACCTTTTATTTCAGGTCTATTCTAAACTTCTCTGAGTAACACGGGGATATCACAATGTTGCAGGCATTTAATATCCTGCGCTATGAGGTTGGGCAGAAGTATAATTCTCACTATGATGTGTTCAACCCGGCTGAATATGGCCCACAAAAGAGCCAAAGGGTACATTCTAACTAACAAACTCAGTTGCCTGGTAGGATGTACAGAAATTATGCTTAACATATTTAACCATTTTCCTTGCATTTTTATCTTCCGGGGGGAGTGGAGTTATGATTCATCTATAATACCTGGACCCATCATTTTACTCCAAATTTCTCTTTGTTGGTGCAATAAGACATGCCTATGGGGGTGAGATATGTCTTGAATCCACCTAACATGCAAACATTTTTTATTCTAGTTTTGAGGTATTTTACTTTTCCAAATATTTGGAAATGCATCCAACATAAACTATCAATTGATAATGTTGCAACATAGTTCAAATCAAAATTCACATGCAATGCCCAGTCAATAGTCCCCATATCTCATGATCATTTATTCAGAAGAACCAACCTCTTATTTATTACCTGCAGAAAAACCAATATAACCTGCTTGCATATTATATTTTATGAATTTATATTACTTAAGAATTATAACATCAAACATGACAAATTCATGCAGATTGCTTCCTTCCTATTGTATCTATCTGATGTTGAAGAAGGAGGGGAAACCATGTTCCCTTTTGAGGTAAGATAATCAGGGATCATGTGTGTGGGTGGTCGGTATAAATTATTGTTTCAGTTCATTGGTATCTAGATGATTGCTTGTGTTTGATTTGCAGAATGGTTTGAACATGGATGGTGGCTATGATTACAAAAAGTGTATTGGGTTGAAAGTGAAGCCACGAAGAGGAGATGGGCTTCTTTTCTATTCAGTATTCCCAAATGGTACAATTGATCAGGTATTTTTCTTCTGTTCATTGGTATTTTCCTCTTTTTCTTTGAACCATATGGGTTTTCAAGGTGAAGCATCTTAAATGTGTGTGAACTGTGAACTCCCATTCTTGACTGCATGTACAGTCAAGACAAAGATGAGTTTTCAGTGTTTTCAATTATGGTCTGCAAAGGTGTGTTGAACATAGATCTTTAGGAAATATGAAATACTTGCTTGTTTTCTTGTGGTTTACATTTCTGGATTTGGTTTGTGAAAGAATTTGTTGCTAGATTTCTTTTGATCGTTATTGATAGTAACAATAAGCATTTGATAGAAAAAAAACGTTAAAGAACCACGTATGGAAATTGTTAGCCATAAAATTAGTGTTTTAAAAGTTAAACTATAGCCTTCTGAATTTAAAAGTTGAAACATATATTTTGTTAACATGAGACAAGTTGTAGGTTTTATTAGTTTATGAAGTTGAAAACCTAAAAAGATCTGATGATTCAAAACATTTTCCAACTGTTTTCAATCTGGGAGTTGGGACATGCTAGGTTAATGGATTTAGTTATGGCAAAACTTCCTTTTCTAATAATCACTAATTCATCATCAGATGGTTCTCTAGGTGAGCCGGTGAGGGGTCTCTGACTATGAGCCTACTTTGTTTTGGGGAGCTCATACTCCATGCTAGTGCTCTACTTTGTACTGGTTCTTGGGTTGTGGGCGTGTTTATTTCTCTCATTTGTGAGCAATTCTCTGCTTCATTTCTTGGATGTGGCTGTACATATGGTATATTCTCTGTCTTTGAAGGTCTATTACTCAATGCTTGTCCTGGATACAGACCTAACCTCTGACATCTTGTTTTTGCATAAAACGGTTTCTCTTAGGCTCAAACCAGCATTCTCACATTTGTCAACCTGAGATTTTACCATGCACCGGGCTTATTATCTCTCTTTTGATCCTTAATTAGTCCTTGGTACCAACAAGTAAAAAAAATATCCTAGCCAAGCAATTCCTAACGGCTGTTTCATAAAGGATGCTCTTCCATCATTAGAAACAGCTTATTGAAATCAGCTTCGAAGTGGCCTTCTTATAATCCTGCAAACATAGCTTTATTTTGGAGTGGCTGAACTACTACCTCCAGGGGGAGGGGCATCCTTTTAGTTAATGGCCCAGGATTTAACCTGTGACCTCAAGGTTGTTGCATGACGGATAACAGGTTTAACCACAGGTTCAAATGTAATGATATGTCTGATGCAACCTAAGTAATCCACTCTAAGATGGTTATCATTATATTTCAGCTGCATGCTATCATAATCTAAGTTCATATAGTTTGGTCATTCTATTCTGTTTAGTGTCATATCCAATGTTGGGACAGAGCTTAGATGATGATGATTCCCAACTATGGGTTGGCTACATGAATCCTGTTTCGCCAATCCGTTCTGTTCAGTACCATATCCATCATCAAATTATGGGCACTTAAATCATTTCTTACTACCACCTAAGTCCCTTTTGGTCTGCTCTTGGCTCTTCTAGCCCCTTCAACTTGTAACATGTCACTTCTTCTAATTGGTGTTGTAGATGGTCTCTATGCACATGATCAAATTACTTCAGTCTACTTTGTCTCATTTTATCACCTATTGGAGCTACTCCTAGCTTCCTTAGTATGACTTCATTTATGATCCCATCCTTCTAGTTTTACCATCTATCCATCTATGCATACACATTTCTGCCAAAGTCATGCTTAGATGATGATGATGATGATGATAGTAACAGTGTGTTAAGGATGAATAAAGCAATTTGTGGAGATACGACTTTAATTGGTTAGTGCATTGCACCTGATGCTTACAAGTGAAATTACTTTTCTCTGGAAGTTGATAATGCGCTTTTATCTAATTACAGAGTCAACAGCTATGGAAATTTTGTTTCTAATGCCTCTAGTAATTGATTGTGGAAATTGGTTTGGAAGCTTAGAGGATTTTTTTCTTCATTTTCTTGCACAAGATGGTCTATACTAACATGCCATGATCTTGTTAGCAAACAAACTTTGTAGCATAGGTTGCTTGTAATTCTTGTTTAACCTTTCCCCCCATCTTAGCATTGGTTGCATAATGCAGACATCCCTTCACGGAAGCTGTCCAGTGATTAAGGGGGAGAAGTGGGTGGCAACAAAATGGATTAGAGATCAAGAACAAGATGACTAAGGTGGTATAGCATTTATTAAAAAAGGGGCGGTATTTAGCGTGTACTTGTGTTTTTTCGAGGTCATTTCTAAGTAGGTCTTACTTTTTGTAAAGCCGAGTGGATGCTTTTTAACCTCAAAATGCATAAACATGTGCTTTAGATTTTTTTTTCTCTTGCTTAACCATAAACCCAGAAATGTTTTCTGGGAATGGTTTGTTTCACCGTCCAAACCACATAATTAAAATTCATTTCTTGTATGAACAGCTGTGCAAAAAACAAAATATTTAAATTACAATAAACGGAATTAACAACGATGTCAGATGTATTTCACTTTATTGGAGTTTTACCTTAAATCACACGCCACATCATGCTTATACCGGTAGAAAGAATTTTACTCCTTTAAAAACATTACATATTGTGGTGTAAAGTGAGTTTTTGTTTTCAAAACCAAAAAAAAAAAGCCAAAGCCACGTTTTGAACACCCCCTAAATGTGTACAATGGTCTGTTTATTTCTTTTTATTTATCTTCTTGGGTTCCGTTTTCGTATTTAATTTCTTTTATCTTGGAAGAGGGTTTGTTAATGGAGACAATTAAGACATATTTTACTGAAATGCCCTTAATAATAAATTACCATTTTTGCCTCTGAAATATTTTGGAATTGGTAAACGTAACCTTTTATATAAATACAAAATATAGTTTTATGATCTCGAATTTATTTGTTTCATTAACTTATTTATTTTCAATTTTCATTTTTGTCTTAACGTTAATTTATTCATTTTAAGAATTATAAAAAAGGGTGTTTGTAAAAGAATACTAAACCTCAAACTAGAGGCAGGAGATGTTAGTATGTTATTAGGTAAACCTGAGGAGATCGGCGAAGGTCTTTGTTTTTTATCTAAACTACAGGGAGGTACAAACTACAAAGTAATTTATCCTCGTAGTGCCATAAGACAACATTGGTTATGTACAGAGGTTGTACCATCAAATTTTTTAGTTTGGGATCCAAAGGGGGTACACCTAATGGCCACATTGGATTTTTCTATTTCCTCTTAATGGAAACTATTATATGAAGTTCATGAAACTCTTTTAAGGTTGTCTTGGTTACGATTGCTGTTTCTACAAGAAGCATCAATTTGACATTTCTACAAACAGCCTCTTATACATGCATTTTTAAGGTATGCTTGTTTTAACCAAGGTCCAAAGTATTGATATCGGAGCCTTCCCGATACCTCCTTACAGGGGGTGTTTCGGGTCGGCAAGTGGTTCAAGGGTAGACCGGTCTTAAACCGGCCCTTCTGAACCAGATTTGGAAAAAAAAAATAAAAGAGTACCGATACGCCCTACTGGCGTATTGCCTTGTATTGATACTTTGAACCTTGGTTTTAACTATAAACGGCTTCAAATGACAGTAGTATGTCAATCCCCATTGATCAACCTATATCGTTATAAACTTGCCTTCTGAAGATGGCAAAGAAAATTTCAACAGCATCATTTATTTATTTAGGGGGTTTTGAGCATCATTTTAAAGAATTCGGATTCTGACATAGAATGAATATGGACACAACCTTTGGCTAGAACCATGGTTTTCAAAACCGGATTGGATTGGATGGTTGGACCGGAAAAACTGGGAACCGGTCAGGTGATCATTTCTGTTTTTTCTAAAATTGGATTTTTTTAAAAAAATTGTTGATTTTGGTCAGCAAACCGTTGACCCGGGTGGTTAACTGTTTGAACAGTTCGAACGCTTTTTATTTTTTTAATTTTTAAATTTTTGTCAGTTCAACCCGGTAATTGGACCCTGACTGGTTTGGTTTCCGGGTCAGTTTTAAAAACCATGACCAGAACTGTCAACAGAATCTGAAAGTCTGACGATCCAATCTGATTATTTTGGACTTGGATTATAAGTTTCTAAGTCCGACGTGTATGCATATAGATATACATATACATGGATAATACGTGTATAATTATGATGAAAAAGCATTTCTTTCAAATGGAGTTAGTATAGGTGTTTTGAAAATTACTGACTAGCCAAGATGGGCCAAAAACACATTAAGCACTTAAAGAAAAAGCACTTAAAAAAGCCAAATGTATTAACTTCAAAAGAGATTTTTTAGAATAAGCATTTATTTGGCCTTTTCCCCAAATGCACAAAAGTGTTTATTAGTTTGGCTCCAACCTAAAATAAGTACTTAAAAATAAGCATTCCCAACTATAAGGGCTTTAGTAGCTATGTTTTGTTTTTAGAGGTGTTGTTTGTTTTCTGTGGCTTTCGGGTCCGTTGCCTCTTTAAGTCTTTATTGTGTGTCTTTCCTCTATATCCTCTGTTCTTTGGTTCCTGGAATAAAGATCTTTTCTATAAAAAAGAAAAAAACTTCAGATTGGCTAAAATCTGATCGAATTATAGTCTATGCCTTATTTTTATTTTATTTGGTACAAAGTGGCTTCTTTAAGCTCAAACCCGCATTTTCATGCTTGCTGGGAGTTCAGATTGGCACCCCACGTGCGAACATCTCCTGTAGCTGTCATTGAAAGATGTTCCCAATACACAGTTGAGATGTGCTGTGGGACGCCTATGGAGTGCTTTGGTGATGGAATCTGCTCCTCACAGGTACATCCACCGTGCATTGGAAACACCTCCCATGAATAATAACTAATAAGTATGGGAGATATTCCCAATGCATGATAAGATGTGTGTGAGGCGCTAAGTGTGAGGAGCAGATCCAGTCGCTGTGCTTTGTGGGGCAGAATTCGCCTGCTGTCCCAATATTTGATCATTATAACAAGCTACCGCCTCTTTTGAGAATTAAGGAAACAAAGTGCAACTAAATACCCATCACACGGACAAGGATCCACCATTCTTCCGAGTTCAGAGAAAAATGACCCCTTGAAAAATGCTATTTCCAAATTTCCAATCATATACTTTCAATACAAGGACGAAAATTTTGTGCTTCCCACTAAATGAGACGAGTAAATTGAATTCATCACGACTGGGTAACTCTATTTTACTTGACAAGTTCATTCAGAATCTGAGACGACATGCTTAGATACAGCTTACCATACTATTGTGGCTGTTGGTTGCACCAAGATATTTTTTGTGGCCAACAATATCATAGCAATATCTGTACCACTGGATCCCTTCAACTAGAGTTGCTACAATACATCCCCAGATGACCGTGCTTTGATTCATCCTACCCTCCAAAGGTTTGAAGCCATCCATGCGTCTACTTGGATTTGGATGGAAGTTTTACTGAGGTAGCCCGTAGCCGATTTTTTTTCCCCTAAAAATTTCAGGGAAAACCTCTTTACCTCACTGCTTTCCATCAGCCTCTGATGAATGATAACAGCAATAGGAGGGTGTGAATCCAGTATTCCAGGTCAATTTTAGCATGAAGATTTAGTCTGTAGAAGAGTACAAACTACGACCTATGCCAGTTATGGTGAGATTGCTTCGCCCACTGCTTCAGCAGATGCATGCAACCAGCTGCAGTGAACAAACCAAAAGCAGCAAAAGCCATCATTGTTGCATTCCCAATGTTCCTGTAGTAGCCTCTCTGAAAAAAATAAAATAAGAGGTCAGTTAGGGAAAAATACTTGCATTAGATAACTTTCATGAGAACCCAGGATCAGGAAGAAACCATTCGTCACATCTACCATAAGGTACATAGAAGACATGCACTCGTAATCATGCATGTTTTGCTATTCAATTAGGTTTAGTGCCACATAAAAGACATGCACTCAGTTTGTCAGGTCAAATCTCACAGAGATCCATGGATTAAAAAATCTGTCTCTGCATATCACAATTGCCCAATTTATGGACATTCTTCCGACATAGCTTAATAGATTGTTCTAATAATCCATTAAGCTTTCATGGCTTGAAGGTCTACATGGTAGCATCACCAATCGTTGAACTTTTTTGCCTCAGTCCAAGATATTAAATAGACCCAAAACTTTAACTTTGAGTGCATGCCTGCAGCACAGGTAGGGCTGCATTTGTCCCCTCTATGTCCCCTCTCCCCGAGTGTTCCTCTAGATAAAAAGGCACGCACTTGGACCAGAACAAACAGAACTGCTGCATTTGCAGAAGCAGCAGACAGGCTTATCATCCCCCCACGGAAGTGATTTGGTACATACCTGCAAAAAAGGTGTTAGAAGGCAAGATGTTAAGACTCCCAGAAAGAAGCATCACTTGTGACATCTTATAAGAGTATTACGATAAACCCTGATATTATTTACATGGTCCTCAATCTTGCTAGTGAAGGTACAATCAGGCCAATACAGACATGGAATAAGCAAAACAGGGTTACCAAGAACCCGATTTCCTGCAAATCAAAATTAAACAGTTCAGACTTCAGATTTGTGAACACCTAGCTCCAGCACTAGATCAGATTTTTCTACATAGGATTCATTACATCCATACCTGGTAATCATAAGCTACTGCAGACAAGACAAAACCTGTGGTAATGAATGCAAATAGCAGGCAATCCTCAGTTCGAACTGGTGATGGTCCAGTAAAAAACCATGGAACTGTTGTACTTCCAAGCATTCTTGCACCCAACAGACATGGATATATCATTCCTAGATTTACTTTTCGTCCATCAGCCTGAAACCAGGCCAAAATAATGTAAAGAAATTAGAAGCATACAAACTATTGTAAGTTGATCTGCCACAAATAAAAAGATATCACAGAATCTATTGTTTTGATTTTCTTCCCCGTTCTACCACATAAACTGCAAGAATAATGTAAAAGAATGTTTTACTTCATGGGCAGTAGAGAATACACCCAGCATTGTCTCCAGGGAGTACAAAATCCTCGCAGCTAATTGGAGCTTTTTTGGCAAGTATCAGGTAAATAGAGCATGAATTGCCAATATGTAATGTGGATTTCAAGATAATAAGTAGATTCAGGCTTTTATTTGTATATGAATCGTACAAAAAAGAAATGAGAAAAAGGTGCTTCTTTTAATATTTTACAAGGGGAAGAACCTATAAATCTAAGATATCCAACGATTCTCCTTTAAGGTGGTGCAACAATACCAGCAGGCACTGAAATTTGGCTTTTAAAAAACTATCCAAATGATAAATGGCAATTGAACCTAATATGTTAAAGAAATAAACAGAAAAGGTGCTAAACATATGGGTTTTGATAATTGTCATTGTTAGGCTTTGGAGACATTAATTTTCATCTGATTATACATCATATGAAGTTGACATTATGCATCTGAAATGATTCCTTAAAATACCACAACAGGAAGGGATGCCAGACCAGTAAAGAAGCTGACATACATGGACTGACAATAGCAACATTAGGTATTACTAAATTTTTCATTTCATTATGCATAATATAGAAATGGGGACAGGATTTCTGGTATCACATCCCAAAGTTCCCCTAAAATAAGGGGAAGTCATCCAGCAGGGTTTATAGAATCTATCCATAAAACAATCTCCTGTTTATATAATTTTTAAAAGGGGCTAAAGGGCAAGGTGCTCTCTACCAGATTACTTTAGCATGCTTCCTACTTGATCCAGCTCCAAAATGCAAGAATTAAATAAGACAACAATCACTTGAAATGAGAGCACATTATATCAAAGTCCACTTGCAAGAGAGTACCATTATAATCGGTGCCCATAGAATCCAGAAGACCATAACAGAGAATTGAAGGCATGCTTGTGACCACACCAATAGCCACACCCTTTTATCTGTCAAGCATAAGGAACAATGTAACAAGTCAACTATAAATACAACAAAAATGGTATGTCCAAATTATCTTTCTGCAAATATGTGCAATTGAGTGTCAACCCCTATATTTCAAGGCTGCATTTCTCCTTATTTGCTTTCTTAACATTCATTTGATTACTCTTTGATATTTTCATTGATGAAAAAGATGTACCAAAAAAAACTAAATCAGTCTTAGACTGAATATTACAATAATAACCCAACGGCCTTGAGCCACCAACAATGTCCCAAGAAACAGAAATTACAAAAATACCCTGGATGTTCTAATTTGAAGATTGTCTTCTCTAAAGTTTAAGATTCCAGCTCACAAAACTCAGTACAGGGTAACAGAGGAATGCCCCATCCCATGGGATGGCACAGCAGTGGGCCCAACAACTAAGTTTCTCCCAGACTGTATTCCACTCCAGGGTCCTTTCCCCTTTTCAACCACCCATGACTACAACCGCTAGGAGGATGAAAATACACTCCAACAAGTCTCAGTAGCATGAGAGGACATATCATCATGAGACATGACAATAAGAACTCATGAAAGGAAATAATTGAGAGAGAGAGAGAGAGAGGATGGAAGTAGGGATGCAAACGGACCGGATTGGACTAGAATTGGGGTATATCCGAATCCAATCTGATCTGATGACCCGGTGGATCATACAAAGATTAATCCGAATTTGAATTCACCAAGGATGTTGGATATACGAATCTGATTCAATCCGGTTTAATTACCCATAGGTCTGTAAAATTTAACAAATTATTAACAGAAAAAAAAAGTCTAGTCTTTACAAAGAAAAAAACACAAGCATTTTTTTTCATTTATATTTTAAATAAAATGAGGGTATACATGTCTTTTTACAAAACAACATAAATAATATAAAAAATCAAATTACAAAAGTGGAGTATAAATATATTTAAAAATAATATGAATATATATCAGCCATATTCTTTCAGATCGGATAGGGGTGATCCGAGTACAAATCGATTTTTAAACGAATCTTGTTTTTTCAACCCGATCCAGAAATCCAAGAGAGGGATATCTGAAAGGATCAGACTTGAATTCAAATTCGATCATGATCTAGTCTTTTTGCACCCCTAGATGAAAGGGTTTGAACATGGAAAAAGAAAGAAGCATTTACTGACAACTTTATTTTTGAAGACAAAAAACAATGAAATTTCTAAATTGAAAAGACAACAAAATTTATTACTGAAAGCAAAAATTGTTTTGCCAATTGTTCCAATAATTTTGACAAAGTTGGAATCTCTATAAAGACATACAAGTTATATTGTTTAGCAGAGTCAAGATAGTGATAAAAAAAGTATATCAAGTTCCTTCAAGTGAATCAGTTACAAGATGTGCTCACAGAAAAGACAGAAATTCATATTCTTTGAGAAGTTAATGTCACAATAATATTTAGTACTTCCATATTTTTACTATACGATGCTTGTCTTGGTTTGATGTCCAGAACACCATGTGAAAAACCTAATCTCTCTCTACAGCATTATTCTTGTGATGATAAGTGCACCATTTATATGTTATATACATTCTTCCCTTCTTTATATATCACATTGTCTCCACAACTCAACTATTTGTTACTTTTTACTCTGCTTTACTAAAGAAAGCATGAGAGAGCTCCCTGAGGATATGCATTCTTACCACCAAGAATACATACAGAGGACACTTTGTACCCCTCGATGGCTGCTAATGGTGGGCTTTCTTTCCATAGTTTAACTATATAGATAATACTCATCATTGCCAAGAATACAACAGCAGTGGAAGGAAAAATAATTCTTTTCTCAGCATTACTGTCAATCAGCCAATTCGTGAGCACTTGGCTTCCAATAAGAGATACAGACTCGTAAAAAGCCATTAGCCAAAAGGTGTCGCTCAATAAATCCTTCCGATGACCTACCTGCAAAGAAAGAAAACATGCATTAAAGCAAGAGCACGACAGCTATCCTAGACATGCTAGTGAAGTGGGCAGTCACCCAACAGCCAAGTTCCTTTTATCTTGACAATGGTGCATTGCCTGCCCCAAACAATTTTCCTTGTATAATGAAAACTGAAGAATAAAACTTTTTAAGACAAACCTTATCATGTTCAACAACCATCCATGACTCAAAACCAAATGAAAATATTGAAGAAGCAAGAGATAAACAAATGCTTGTCATCCAAAAACTTGGATGCGTGAAAACAGCCTTCCAGATGCCAATCAAAAGGTGAAGGATGCAAAATAACAGGCAGACTTTCTTTTGACCTCTGCATACAAGTAAATAATGATTCACCAGTCAGAATTTGCTTGAGCTGTTTAGTTCAGTAAACATTAAAATAGAAAGACCAAAAGGATTGGTAAAACCACACTTCCATCATTGCTCATTATCTAATTTTAGAAAAATAAGATGACATTTCAACATATAGAAGTTTAGTAATAGCTGATTTCAAAAAAATGAAGTAATCTTAGAAGCTTGAAATATAACTCTTCATTCGTGTCATTCCGGGACCAGAATGCAAACTGATAATTACAGAAACCGAGATGTAGCACTTAAGAATATATAAAGAGATTACTCACATCACATCAGAAAGTATGCCCAATGAAGTGCCGACAAGAAGAGAAGCAGCGGATCCAATACATAGAGATACTACCATCTGCTCCTTGCTAAGACCATAATATGCATACTCAAACTCCCCAAAGACTGATCCCAGACCTTCCATTACTGGAGAAAGAAAGTATAAGCAAGAGGAAATTACCCAACAAGAAAAGGATTAGTAAAACCATTTGACATCTAAAACCAAGAATTCTCGTTAGTGGAAATTGCAGTAAACATGATAAGTTTGATTTAAAAAATATAGATACTTATAGAAAGAAATAAATGACGATATAAAGAAGCGACCTGAAGCAAGGGAATAGACGAGCAGAAAACTTCTCTGGAAACGAAGAAATGAAGCTGGGATCGAGGTCGAAACGGTACCAAGTTCGAGAAAACCGGTTTTCCTGCTAGAGTTCTTCGAGAAATACGGAGTTAAGAAAAGTGAGAGGAAACAGATGCAGAAGAGGAAGATATACAAGTGAGGTTTTGGTTCCCACACGATGGTCTCGATCACAACCCCCATTGAGGGTGTTTGGATCTCAAAACCTCAGAAGATGCAATGTCAAATAGAACTATTGAAGAAAACCGCGCCAATGATAATCGAGATTGCAGAGTGCAGAGCGACCTAGGTCCGAGGGGGAAGAATTCGAATAATGGTGAGAGGTTGGCTCCACTCCAGATTTTTTGACAGTGTAGATGGCTCCGCAATTGAAAGATTGTTAGATCATGTTTGTTCAGGTACAGAAGAGCTATAACCTGTAAGTCGTCAGTCGTCACTTTACCCAGCTTCAACTTCAAGCGATGAAGCGAGCGAGCCGAGCCGAGCCGAGGCATCATGACAAGAGTGCCTCCAATCTCCTACTCACTACTGGTTCCCACATCTGACACCGGATCTGCTCCTCACACATGGGCGCCTAACGGGTACATCCACCATCTCCCGTAAATAATAACTTATAAGTACGGAAGATGTTCTTAATGCATGGTAGGATGTGCGTGTGAGGCGTCCTTTGTGAGTAGCAGATTCGGTCTCCCCACATCTATGTCCACAAACAACCACCGCCGTGTATTGGGACATCTCCCTATGAATAAAAGGGAGATATTCCCAATGCATAGCTTTTATGTGTCACGGGTGATGTGAGAACAAGTAATGTGTAAGGATCTGCTACCCACTGCTTGTTCCCACATCTTACCCACTGAACATTGCCACCATGTATTAGGAACATCTCCCTATGAATGAAAGAGAAGATATTTCCAATGCGCAACTGTTATGTCCTATGGGTAGATGATCTGAGCCTAGTAGAGCCCAACAAGAGTTGGATCTCCTCCCATCCAGCTACCCTCTTTCAAGAGATGTGTCCCCACATCTCAGGATGGTAGGTCTATGTCTCATGGTGAGATGTGTGGACACAGATCATGTTGGATCAGTTTTTTGCCATAAAAAATTCCCGTGAGAACGAATGTTGATCGGTTTTTTGTGATAGGGACTTCCATGACAAAAAATGTTGAGAGAGCAAGTATACCGAGCTTGTATCATCTGCCAACAAGATACATTCAAACACCCTACCAACATCATTTGATACTACATCTCATACATGATTGGTCCCACTTTTATAACATGCCCCGGTTTTATAATGAGATATGCATTATTAGATCAAGTTGGTAGGGTTTAGAATTTATTTTGTTGGCATGAGATCCCAATTCAAGTATACCAGGGCACTTGGTACAGTTTGTAGGGAGATTACATCTGCCCCACATGCACATCTCACCGTGCATTGAGAACATCTCTCATATACAGTTGGGAGGTGCTGTGGAACGTTTTTGGGACACATTCTATGGAGGGCAGATGTGATTTCGTTTGTAGGTTGCTTGTGAGTTCACATCAGCACCCCAAAAGGGGGTGCCCCACAATGTCCCATAGCACATCCCCGATCTTGTATTGAGAACATCTCCCGATGATAGTATGAGAGACATCATCAGAAGATGTTCCCAATAGGAGGTCGGGATATACTGTGGGATGCTGTAGCTTGTTGCTGTGTTTTGGGCTGATGAATACGAATTGTCAGAAATATGTGTTATGTCATATACCTATAATGCTCTTTTATTTATACAAATTTCATATACCTATAATACAAATATGTGTTATGTCATACCTATAATACAACTTTCATGTACCTGTAATGCTCTTTTATTTATACAAATTTTCATTTAATCTGTTCATCCTTCTAATATGTTAAATCATTTTATCCTTATATAAGAAATATTCAGATAGATCAATCACACTTTTTCACAAATTTATATTGATAAACCCAAAATACACCTGCAACGCAACAGCGCTGTACCAAACACCCCGTAGTATTTACCGAATACAGTGGTTTTTATGTGGACCATCCATCCATATCTTCCACCACACGATTCGTTTCCTGGGTCCCTTCTTCGGCTGCAATTCAAAATGGTATAATTTAATCTTTTTTAGCTTTACTCATTTATTGTCATTTCCGGCTCTTGGTCCATGATTTTTTTTTTCAAAATCTTAGAATTTTGGACAAATTTTTTCGATACTCTAATTGTTTTATTAATCATTATAAAAAATATTTCACAGTATATTTCATTAAAAAAACATTTTATAGCATATTCATATTTATTGATTGTATTATTTTATTAATTATTTCCCGACATTTTTCATATTTAATGTTGGTGGGCTGGTGGCTCTGAGTCTCCGTCCTAATTAATTCGAATTAGCTGAACGAAATGGGCTGTTCAAACCAATGCTAATGTTCTACATCAGTAATGAATTCATAGGCCCTACTATAAAAGGTATGAATCTCATATATTTTGTTACCAGCGTCGAACGTTATCATTGGTTCCACTGCATTCAGCTAATCCTTGCTCCGTCCAAATCCGAAAATTTATGAAAATTTGTTAGCATTGAAAACAAAATGAAACCAACAAAAGGAGAAAAGAGAAGAAAATTGCATTCTGCTGCCAGCCATACTAACAATTACGTGTAAGTACCATTTAATCTGTTCTTTTTTACCATCAACCACAGGTACCAAAACGAGTCTTGAGAGAAAATGTATGGCATACACTCAAAGAACACATCTATAAATATCTTTTACATGTCTGAATGTTAATTCTTATTGAAGCAGAGAACATTGGAATATTATCAGGACAAATAAAAGGTAACATAACCACCATAAAAGCCTCCAGTCCTCAAAACAAGCTTCTACTTTCGACAACTAGAGCAGTAGAGCTAGTCCAGTTTTCTTTTGGGAGAACCCAAGAGAATGCCCCTTGGTGTTGGTGAGAGGAAGCAGTACAGGACTATACATCAAATTTGTCTTTCCCCTGAAAATTTTGCACCAGCTTATATCAACATCAGAAAGGATATTGTTTTGTGATTACATAAATGATTTGGGTCCTAATATTCAAGTAAATAACCAAAGAATACATGTAAATCAAAAGAGCTAAAATTATTTCCCCACTCAATCTTACAGCACAACTTGCAGATATCATAAAAATACGGAGAGACCATAAATGGTGAAACATGCAACTGAGATAAGCATTTTAGTAGCAATACAGAAAAATTCAACCATCCTCTCTGACTAAAATAGCATGGAATGATTAAAATGTAACAGAATCAATTTAAGTCACACCCATTTGCAGTTGCACTCCTAATTCAATATTTAGTCTAAAACGATGAGCCACAGTCTAAGACAACAAACCAATTATAAAGCTCTAAGAGAACTTCATTCCCCAGTTCAACTTGAAGATGAAAATGCCACTCTACAAAAAAATCTTTGGTTCAATCCCCTCATTTACATACTGTAATTGTATGATTCATCTATTTGCATTCCCTAGTAAATTGCACATGACATTGTTTTTCCAAGGGAGAAAAAATACAAGGATCATTACCCTAAACCAAATGTTGGTCCTACCTCTATCTAGGGTGTTGGCAGGGGTGTGGACTAGATACAGATCTAACCACTATGAGGGGTCTCGGGAGCACATATGTAGGAATTACCAAAAACATGTATTCCTTATTTGGTAGCAGATACCACGAATAAGTAATATTTTGGTATTAATAGATTTTGCATGTATGCAAATAACCAGAAATAGAGCACAAGGTAATGTGAGAAGAGGAAACCAGAAAATGCTCAGTTATTTCCTTCATCAATCTCCAGTGTAGCAACCTAAAGGAATATGCTCACCAGTGTCATCCAAACAAAATAAAACATAAAAAGGACAAAAATAAGTTAACATATTTAAGATGTATCTTAAAAAAAAAAGCATAACAATCCAGTTCACTTGGTATTACAAATTTTACCATTTAACCATCTATTTCTTGTTAGGAAATAAAACACATGTAATTATGTGTTTTTCCCTCTTTAAAAACTGAAATTTTCATAAATGTCAACTGATTATTTCTCTTCATTCTTGCTCATTCTATTTTCTTGATAGAGATTCAACTCACAAAAAACAAGGTGCAACCAAGTTGCCTGAACATTGCCAGATTAAAACATATCAGAAAGCAGACTTCCGTTTTCAGAACCACTCAAGTCATTGATATTGGTATGCCAAATTAACTCAAACTTATAGTGAATGATTGGAACCTCCAAACAATATTTATAAAGAATTGGAGATAATCTTCTAATAGCAATGCCAAAATTACTTACACAGATCATAGTTGTCTTATATATAAAACGTGAACCATGTGTAATCTATCTTCAACTGGTGATGACTAAATCAAAAACCATACTAAGTGCTTTGTTCTCCTCAAGACTCATGATAGATGATAATTGAGAGATTGTCAAGAAGTTAAAGAAAACAATTTAGAGAATTGAAACTCTGGAAATTCGTTTGTATATCTGAAAGAGAAAATATCCAACTTTATAAATGATGGCTGTCAAAGTTATAGTAAATCTTGAGTTGTCAAGTTGTTCTATGAGATTGGGATTGTAATTCTGATGCCAACATCATGTTAGAAGAAAGAGCAGGATTCAAACACCAACATTCTCTAACAGTCAGCATAACCAAAGAAACTTGGATGCTTGAATAAGCATAAATTATCTCATGCCCTGCTTTCTAGAAAACAGTGAATCCACATTGGAAAACACTGAAATCTTGAGTCAGCAGTCAACCACATGTTTATAATGTCACATGTACTAACCATTAATTTAAGCTTCGATGCAGATAAGCATAGGAATATAGGAGAAAAAATATCCCAAAAGTTGCTATGAAGTGAAACAAAGGGCTCAAACAGATTCTGATGTTTCCAATGTGGTACTTTTCAGAACTGAAGTAGGACCAGTCACTCTAAGATTCATTAATGTGACTGTCTCCTTTGGTACCAATTGATGAAGGGCCAGCAACTCTGATACCAAGTGATGTAAGACAAATATGATCCAAGGGTGAGTCTAGGAAGGTATTAATTATCTAAAATAGGGATTAGGGATGGGTTGAGGACCAAAGGTAGAGATCAGTTAGGTTAACAATGATCTCAAAACTTAACTACAAAAATTGAGGCTGTCCTAAAATTGTAAATTGAAAGAGAAAGATAGGTCTATGATTAAAAAATTTTAATGGAAATTTGTAGGTAGGTTTGGAATATATAGTTGTAAGGGGTGATCAAGTTTGGTAGGGTTTTGCACAAAATGATGAAAATTCTGTTTTGAAGGAAGGGGAAAGCTGAAAATTCTAGAATCTAAGGTTCTAGCTTCTAGGAGAAATTTTGAAATGAGATTTGGTGGGATGAAAGGTGATTGAGGGGTACTTGATAATAGCTGAGAAGGCTGAACTGAATGACATTACTTTTTCTTTTAGTGAATAAGTTAGCTATTAAGGAGGTTGAGAGCTCCTTAATGGCTAGAAGCCAAAGTTGGGTTGATTAATATACCCTTGAATATTTTGTTATTTAATTATTTTATCCACTAAAAGGCAAAGCAATAAGTCATTCAATTAAGTCACTTCATCTATTATCGAACAGTCCTGAAACTTATGGGGGCAATCAAATATGAGGGCATTTGAAGACGATTTAGCACAAAAGGATGAAATCTACTGAAATGCAAAAATTTTGGGTTTTAATATAAACTCAAATAAATCATACCAAAACTACTTATAATCCTATAGGGGTGTTGAATAGACTTATTCAACAAAGAATTTTCTAAGATGTTGATGGCTGTAACAGCTGTCAGCTGCCAATAGAATTTGAGAGAAGATAGAAAGAAAAAGAAGACAGAAAACTCAGAATCACACAATGGGGTCCTAAAACAGGAATCACTCACCATAAGCAATAACAACACTATCACCCATCCATTGATAACAATAAAAAGATTGATCCATGGAAGCCATTGAAACCAAGCAAAGAAACTAGAGAGAAAAGGGGGCAACAAGCAATGGAGCACCAATACATGAAATTTACTGTAACAAGTGAGAAAACGAAATGTATGCTACTGTGATCTGGATCTTGGGCTAGAGCTTGGTGGAGCCACTTGATCTAGCATTGTAGTTTTTCATCATACATATATATGGACACTACTTGTGCCAAATCCTACTAGAAGTAGGGAAAATAGAAATTATAGAATTGCAATTATCATATTTTGTGTAAAAGAAACTCAATAACTACTAAACCAATTACTCTAAAGTTTAAACCCAATTAAACTATGACTAGACAAATTAAACTATTAGACTGAACCCCAAAGATGATATGTAAAATGATAAAAATATCCTTAGTATCTGAAAATACAGAAATACGAAAAAGAAAAACATTTTTTTTTTCGACTTTTTGGCTCCTGGATCAGACTCACTTGCCTAATATTCTAGATGCAAACTGTTTGGTGAGAGTTAGTGAAGAAAACATATTTTTCTTATTGAATAGTAAAGAATTCTATAATGTCATACTAATTAAGGGAAACCCAAGTATAAAGTCATCATTTGGAATTCAAATCGTAAATTAATCCCTATAGAATGTCAACCATCTCATTGTCAAGTAAGGTACATTTGTTAAGATGACATAGGGTAGTGGCTTTTCAATATTAAAAACTTTCTTGACAAATAAATAAAGAACCAAATACAACGACTTTTGCTTATAGAAGTGCCAGACAAAGGAATAATGGAATAATATCACATTGAGGTAAAGCAATACAAAAGGACAACCTGTGGGGTTAAAAGCCCCTGAATCGGTAAAAATAAAGTGGTACTCCAGGATCATCCACCAAAATTAGGGGTGCAACTTGGGCGGGCCCAGCTCGAACCCGAACCGATATATATGTGTGTATATGTAAATGTTGCATACATATATATATATACATACATACATACATACATATTTACATACATACATACATAAATAGATGTATATATATTTGTATAAATACATTTACATATGTATAATTTAGAGTGGGTTCATTGACCAACCCGAGCCTGGCCCGGGCCCGAGTCCAACCCGAGTGCATCAAATTACAGGGCAGGCTGGGCTCGGGTTGGGAAAATCAGGCTTGACCTCGGGCTCGGGCCTTAAGCCCAAATTTTAGGGCCAAGCTTGGGCTGACCATAAACCCGGCCTAACCTACCCGACTTGCACCCCTAACCAAAATGCCCTTGGAAATAATACTTAATCAACTGAAGATGCTTGGGTTCATGACCTAAGGATAATCAATCATCAACCTCCAACGGTTGATATTCAATGGGTCATCATTGACATTGCACAGTGAGACAACTCAATAAATAGGAATACATTTCAAAGAAATTATCAAAATACTACATTGAGATGAAATGAGTATGGAAGGAAATTATTGGCCTGCAGTAGTCTGTAATGGACCATTCTTTGCTTAGATGATTAGGTTTTAAATTTTCTACTTTCAACCTTGTATTTGTATTTAAATTAGCAATTATACTTAATGGCTGCATTTTGTATCTACACCTCATGCAAATGTATAAAAAAGAGGCAACCTTTTAGGTCTCAGATCATATATTTTATGTTTAAAGATGCAAGGGGCTAGTTGATACCTTATTATTTTTCAAATTTGTCCCATCAGAAATAAGAAGTGGTATGAACCCAGTTAATATAATTCGATATTTAAGAGAAAGAAAAAGAGAAAGCATGCATATTCAATACAGGGAGATTGAAAGGCGAGCACCAGATGTATACATATGATTTTTTTTATGTTGATTTTCTCTCACTTTCTAGAGAAAAGCCATATAGACCAATGAGAAATGAAGAACACATGCTTTCATGTAAAAAATTCTATTCTATGTATTGATGGTTCATACAATCTAGGTATAGCTCCCTCAGTTCCATGTCTATTATGCCTCTGTAGCACCTGTAACCCTGGACTATAATAAGACCGGTCTAAATCGCACACATACTACAGTAACTGGTTTGAGTGGTTTCCAACACAAGTGCTGACAGAAACCTCTGAATTCTTATCAAGATTTGAATGTCTGGGGTAGGACTCAAGACACAAGCATAAAAAGATTTAAAAAAAAAAAGAAATCCAAAAAAGAATGGCCAGCTTTCTTTGAAGAGAACTGCATTCCTTCAGCTTGTCCCATGTTTCACAAATATGTTCACTTCAAAATGCCTCATGCTGTCCTGCATAAAGTTTCTTATAGAATATCATTAAGGAAATTTTAGAAGATACTGAAACAGCAATTATTGCAGTAACCATATAACAGAATGCAATTGCTGTCCCCTTTTCCCCTTTTCTTGCATGTCATTCTGTAAAAAAGAAAGATTATATAAAATGAATTAACAGGCATACCCTATTTACAAAGTTTGCCACCACTGCCATTCCCTCCTTCAATGTAATATTGAGGTTCTTCTGGCTCACTGAAAGAGAAGTTATGGCAAGAAAATAGTTAAAGAACCAAATAGGATAGCAGGTGAGAAATTTTCATATCAGTCCTTGGTAAGAAATGGTGTGGAATTAAAATTTCATATACTACCTTTCATCTTCAGAACCTGATTCATGATGTAAAAATGTTCCTAAATCAGGAGCTCCACCTTCAAAAGATTCCTTTTTACTGCCTCCCTGCAATAATTCAAAGCATGAACCACGACATTCTTCCTGGGAGAAATCAATGAAAAATGAAATGAAAGAAAAAAATTCTCATGTCTTAGAAGAAAATCCCTTACTCCAGCACTTTCTTCCATCCACCCAGGAACCATATCTGAAAGAAGAGTGATGTACTGCTCCATTGCAACTTCTGGAGTCATGTTCCCCAGCTGTTGCCAAGCATTCCTTGCACAATGAAATCAGTGCCCTCCATCACTTATAAATAGCATCTCTCAACCCTGTTGTTATAGCCAGAAATCAAACTACACCAAGTTTTGGTCAAGGGTCGGTCCCTAGGTGATGGTGTTCTGCACATTGTCCTGCTTGAGTTTGAGAAACTCAGGCAGAAAATAGAATTGATGACAAAACTCTATCTTCAAATACAACCATTAGTTCCTAAGTTGAGGACCATGTCCCTCCCAAATTTTGAAGGTTCCTCTAAGTTAAGGATGACAAAGATGAAACAAACTAATGAAGTGATAAATCAAAAGCAGTTTTGCCTCCTGAATTAGGATATCCACATAGAATGGTGTATGGCATCCATGAACCATTATTTTCCATTAAATTGTAAACGATTGGACTTATAACAACATTGTTTTGGTTGGCATTGCCCTATTTTGCAATGCCTATTTTAACCAATTCAGCAATATAATAATACTTGCCTCTAAAAGCTTAAGTGCACCCAACCTTTTAAGGGGATTAGTTAATTCAGCAAGTATACAAGGAACCATTTGATAACAGCTGAATTAGCTGAACTGGGCGCCTTCTAGAGAATAAATCTTGAAGAAGGGAAAGAGCTCCTTAATGGATGAATGGCATGCTAGGGTATTTATAATATAAGCCATTAAGTATAGCCAATTCAGCCGTTATAAAGTTGCCCCTGTAATACATAGTCAAAGAGAATTGCAGAGGGGAAAGTTTAGTACCACTTTGCACGGGCAGAGACCTTAAGCGCCATAGGCTGTGGCTCATGGCAAGGGCCTTCTGTTGCAACCTTGTGAAGTCCATACAACTGCATCTGAATATCACTATCAACCTTTGACAAGTGATCGTTGTTATTTCCAGATGAAAGAAATGCCACCGCGGCACCAAAAAGCTTTTCCACTTCAGTTCTTTCGATTCCCTCCCAATCATCCTCGTCACTAAATAACACCTCATCATCATTTTGTCCACCTTCTGCTCCTTCAGTTACATTCTTCTGATACGGTTCGTGCTTATCAATTCCGTCCTTTTCAACCTTGGCAAGAATGTTATCGCCTTCCACCAATTCGATATTTATTTCACGAACCTCCGCCTTCTCGAGGCTTTCTTCAACCAAGTCGTCTTCCAACCGGTCATCCTCAGTTGGAGTAGTTTCTTCCTTAGCATGCCCTGAATCAGAAGCACAGGATACCACCTCCTTATCAGGCCTTTCCTCAATAAACTTCTCTTCTAATATTCCAATAACCTTAATTTCATCTTCTTCTGAAGTTTCTTCCTTAGCATGTACTGAATCAGAAACATGGGTTATCACTTCCTCCTTATAAGGCCTTTCCTCAATAAACTTTTCTTTTAATATTCCAAGAACCTTAATTTCGTTTTCTTCTGAAGTTTCTTCCTTCGTTCTAAGACGATCGTCTTCAAAAATCTCGACCTTTTCACGACTTTCCTTCTCGAGTTCATTGACTCGATGAACCATCTCCAACTTTTCCTGAACCAGCTGTCCTTCATATTCAACGACCATTGCAGCTTCTCCAAAAAATTCAACTATCTCTTTGGTTTCTAAAACTCGATTGATCAATTGTCCTTCGAAACTCCGCTCCTCTGTAACCATTTCACCATCAAACTCCCTTTTTGATCTTAACATCGACTCCCGCTCCTCTAAATCCCCAGCGGAAGCCACTGAAACGAGTTTGGCTACGACAAAGGTGAAGATAAGAGAAAGAAAACCAGTGAAGAAAAGTTCCAGAAGTAATTCCATGGCTACTGATTCCTTCGTCTTCTTGCTGTCCTAATTTAATATTGAGAATAGAAGGAAAGAAAAGAAAGAAAGCGGAGGTGGATGTTTTGTTTGGGAGAGGGAGGATTTTGAAGAGAAGAGCAAAGCATATTCTAAGGCTTTGCATCTCTTTTGCTTATACTGATGTGGGCTCGGATTCTGCCCCACGGCCATCTTGGTGTTTGAAAAATACCATCACCTTCACAAGCCTCCAACTCCAACGCAGTATAGGCGACAGTTGAGTTACCTAACTAACTCATTACACTAATGTATTTTTTCCCATTGTAACCCTCTGCTGCGATCCTTATCCTACGGTAGTAGATCATCTAAAGTTGAAAGTTGGAAAGTGTTGCCGGTGAACCTACAAGAAAGGGAGGGTTATTTGCATAAGCGCGCGCCCCACACCAACCAATACATGGGAATATCTCCCAATGAGAAGTACCTGAGATGTGCATGTGGGACTCCGATGTGAATTCTTTGGTGTTAGGTGGGCATTTCATAGCTGATATCAGATTATCAGCTTTTGCATTTACCACGTGGAAACCTAATCACTACCCATTCGTGGCTTTTGGCATTCCGAGCTGGGCGCATACAGGAGCATCGAAAGCTAGGTGAGAAAGCATGTCACTGCGCTTCTTCATAGGTGAGAAGTGAGAACCACAATGGTGTTTGGTTTTATGACCGTTTATTTGAAAAGGGTGCCACAGCCTAGTAGGGAGATACCATTTTTTTTTAAAACGCCCTTAGTCAGTATATTTCATTCATTCAAGAAATTGATACAGAGAATTGTCAAGGCCGATCAGAAAAGTAAGATACAATTTCTCAAGAAGAATAAAATATATAAATGGATAAAGGAGAACATAAAAACCTTTTGCAATTAAACAAAGATGAAGTAAAATCATCAACAGAAGTAGACAAACACCTCTCTAATCCACCATAAATGGCGAGAAAAACTGATAGGAGAGGTCATCAAAAGAGACGGCAAAGAATCGATAATAGTATGATTGGAGGAGATCCGCAAAAGACTACAAAGTCCCAAACATTACAACGGCTACCAAAGATTGTAACTGTCATCCATAATTACTTTCATTGGAGAACTACGAACAGAACTGACCATGAACTACATTTGCCGGAGAACCGCGATATGGATGGCAAAATGTAAAGCAACATCCACCGGCATTGATCGCCCAATATAGTATCTAAGAGAAGTAATCCCCTCGTCAAAATGCATGTACAAAGAAAAGAAAGCACAAAAAGAGGCGAAAAAAGAACAATGGGAAAGAGATGAACAAACAAACGGAGTGAAAGGCGAGGAAAAAAAGGAGAAAACTAGATGGGAGGAAGAACGAAGAATGAAAGTAGGAGAGGAGGGAAGAAAATGAACTAAAAAGAGAAAATAATGAGGAGAAAGAAAGGATAATGGGAAAGGGGACTCCCCGGGAGCCACCCCAAAAGAAATTTCTAAGGCGGGAAGTGGACAACGAACAAAGAGATCGAGAAAACCTCGAGAAAACTCGAGAGAAAACCTCTTTCGAAACAGAGAGAATAAAACCAGGGTTACCCCTGAAAATTCAGCAGATTCAAGGGATACCATTTTTCGTATTTACCCCAACACCCAGTAATTTCTTTACTGTTGAGTTTATGTGGCATCTAAATGTCAAACTATTACCCACTTTCTCGTTTTTCAAAATAAAAAGTACAAAGTATTTGTCAAAATAAATGGTCATCATGGTACTAAGCAACGCCTATAATATGAAGCTACTCTAGGTAGCTTCTTTGGAAAGCAAGTACTCAACCACCATGGCTCTAGGGTTGCAATTCAGCTGTAATGTAGAAGTTGTATCAAAGGGGCCCTCAATTCACTTTCGGCATACATGGACCTTGTTATAAATAAAATAGAATCCATATTTCATCCCCACAGAATGGTCCTCACATCCGCACTTGCAACTGTGCATTAAGAAAATATCCCGATGAATCAAGAGTGGACACGTCAATGTTTAGAGCCCACATCTTGTGTACCAAACACTGATGAGTTCATTGTTGTGTTGATTGGTCTTGTAGCCTAATGCACACAACCTTGTTTGTAGCCCATCCGAACCAGAGTATCAAGAGCAAAGAATCAGTTTCAGTTTTATGCCAAAGAAAGGAACTTAGTCTTGGGATGCCTTGTCGGCTAAGAGAATAGCCCAAATCCCTAACGCCCTTAATTAACCATATTTATCTATCATCTATCTATTCTATACGATAACTTGCATATATACTATGTATAAATGTATTGTATGCAAGTAATAAATGTATTGTATCTATCATCTATCATCTATCATCTATCTGTTGTATGCAAATAATAAAAGTTAAATCTAAATATTATATATCTATATATTTAATACTTAATACTTATTTGCAAATGTGTATGATATGTTTTCTTACACTAGTTATAAGTAGGGGTAGCAAGTTGGGGCGGGTTGGGTTGGGTTTATGGTCAACCCAGGTCCAGCCCTAAAATTTGGGTTTAAGGTCTGAGCCCAAGGTCAAGCCTGATTTTCCCAACTAGCATTGTAATTGTAATTTGATGCACTTGGGTTGGGCTTGGGCCTGGGTCAGTGTGTGTGTGTAAATATGTATGCAACATTTACATATATACACATATGTATGTATAAATGTATATAGTTGGGTCGGGTTCGGGCTATCTAAGGGCTAGGCTTGAGCCCAATTGACCCGAAAAATAAAAAAGCCCGAGCCTAGCCCAAGGACCAAAAATCCAAGCCCGAACTGTGTAAAATTCTGGGTTGGGCCGATTTGGGCTCAGGCTGGGCCCACCCAAGTTGCACCCCTGGTTATAAGAAAAAGGTGAAGCCTAGAAGAACAAAGTCACAAACCATGGTCTTTGAAGTTTTGATTGTTGATCATCTTGAAAAGGTGTCTTTCCTTGGTTCTAAAGAGCCTCTGTAAACATAACATCTAGTCACACATTGGAAATATACCCGATACATGTATATTAAATTTGTAAGGAGATGTTAGTAAGGTTCAATTTGAAAAGAGTATAAAATAAAAATATGTACAATACAAAGCCTTGCTAAACATGTATTTGCACTGTACATGTTTGTATTTGCACCTGTTCCAAACTAAGCTTACAGTACAAATACAAACAAATTATAAGGTTTTACACTCTACATATTTGTATTTGTATGATCTCATTATGTGATTGTGGCTTTTATATGATCTCATTATATATTGAGGCATCATACTAATTGAAGAATTAATGAGAGTAATTCTTCTCCAAGGGTGTGATTGAAGATATAAATAGATACCAAAAACAGTTTTTATGGACAAGTAACACCGAAAGAAAACCTCTTCACTTCGTAAATTGGGATCGAGTTTGTTCCACTAAGAAATGGGTTGGGTTAGGGCTAAAAAAATTGAATGGGTAAATGAAGCATGTTTAGCTAAACTTGGTTGGAAAATCCTAATGAAAAGAAAACTATTTGGGTCCAAATGGTCACGAATAAGCATTAAAAAGAGATAACTTTTGGGAAACCATAAAGAAAAAACAGAATTCTTGGGCTTGGAAAGGTATACTTGCCGCTAGAAATTTATTGAAGAAAAGCATTGGATGGGAGGTGGGTAATGGTGAAGATATAAGCTTTTGGAAAAATAATTGGGCTAATGATACTCCTATGAGGGAAAGGGTTGATGAAAGATTGAAACCTCAATTTCTAATAGTGATTTGAAAGTTAGTGATGTAATTGATAAGGAGAGAAGAATATGGAATGAGGCTGTTATTAGAAATTTGATTCCCGCCCAGGTTTGAGATAAGATTAGAACCACTTTCATACCCTTCTTGCCAAGGAAAGACATTGATTTGGAGACCAAATACGACTGGTGAAATTTTAATCAAAACAACCTATTCAAAGATCAGTAATTTCGTGAACAATTCCCCTAGGGGAGTCATTGAGATTGCAAAAATTTGGAGCCTGAAGACCCCTCGAAAATACAAGACCTCCTTATACCTTTTCTTAAGTTATAAGCTTCCTTCAAAGAAAAATCCTTTAGAAATATTTGTTTGCCTCCTGCCATCATACTTGATAGACCTATGAACTCTTTTTTGGAAATTAAAGCTTGTCTAAATGATGCGGAACAACTTGCAAATAAATACATGGAGCAATTGGATAGGAAGAAACTGCCAAAAAAGGAATGAAATGATGAAAATGCATAGTCCTACGGAAACACTCAACTTTCTTATTTATTTCTTTTTTCCTAATCATACTAGAGTTCTAATTTGTTTGTTTTCTTTTAGATTAGTTAGTAAAGGTGTAGGAGTTGTCTCATTTCCTATTTGTTTCCTTAGGTTGGTTTCTTAGTTTGAGTAAGTTTGTAATTCAGGGCCTATAAAATGGACCCTAAGCCTTTGTTTACAAGTAGTGAACCAGTTACTTGTGTGGTGCAGTGAATCCCCTACACACCAAAGAATGAGGATATCTCACAATAGCGGAAGATCTTCTAGTCCAAGTAGGGGTGGCCATGAGCTGAGCTTCTCACAAGCCATTTGAGCTTGGCTCGCCTCGGTTTAAACTGAGTTCGAGCATGATATATAGGCTCATTTGCTAATCGAGCTGAGCTCAAGCCTAGTGAAGCTCGGCTCGCGAGCCTAGTATAATAAATAAATTTTTTTTTTATTACATACATATACATATACATAATAAATAATTATTATTTTATATATAATATTTTTATTTTTTAAGTATAATAGTAAATAATTTTTATAATTCTTAATTTTTTGTATGTAAAATAAAAAACTACTTTTATATGTATATTTTTATTTAAAAAAAATTGGCTTGCAGTCGAGCTCGAGACGAGCCAAGCTCAAACTTAAGATCTTTGAACCGAGCCGAGCTCTAGCTCGAATCGAGCTTGAGCTCGAGCCTAACACAGTTTGAGTGAGCCGAGCTTGAATTGCCAAGTATTCGGTTCGGCTCGGCTCGAATCCACCCCCTAAGTCCAAGCAATCGGTTAACCAAAAGGTTTGTGACCTGATTATAGATAGCTGCAACTACGAGAATTATGTATCCAAGGCACTAGTTGATCACTTGCAACTGACAACAGAACCACATCCAGCCCCTTATCAGATTTGGTGGATCAAGAAGGGCCCTGCCATTAAAGTGATAGAAATTTGTAAGGTTCTTCTCTCCTTGGGTAAATTTTATAAAAGACACTATCACATGTGATGTAGTAGATATGGGTGCATGTCATGTGTTGATGGGGTGTCTATGGCAATATGATGTTGATTCTACACGTAGGGGTAGACATAATATGTATGTGTTTAGATGGGAGAACAAGAGGATTGCTCTTGTACTAAATGGAGGCTCACCCAAAGCTTCTAAAGTGGAGGGGCAGTTTTTCCTTTCAATATCTTCATTAAAACTTGTGTTTTTTTTTGCAAATACCAAAGAGGCCAAGGAGACATTTGCTTTTGGTGATCAAGGGTGAGGCAGAGCCCGATAGTGAAGTTCCAAAGCAGGTGTAGCCCCTGTTGGATGAGTTCAAGGCCCTAACTATGGAGCCAAACCATATACCCCCTATGCGTGACATCCGACATCAGATTGATTTGATTCCTATTACCACCCTGCCAAATCTGCCGCATTACCTAATGAGCCTAAAGGAAAGTGAGATCCTAAGAGAGAGTGCATGAGCTACAACAAAAGGGGCATATTCGAGAGAGCATTAGTCCATGTGAAGTACCTGCATTACTAATACCGAAGAAGGATGGAAGTTGGAGGATGTGTGTTGATAGCCATGCCATCAACAAGATCACCATCTGATACAGATTTACCATCCCTTGATTGGATGATATGTTGGATTAGTTGGGAGGATCCACGATGTTCTCCAAAATTGACCTAAAGAGCATATATCATTATATCCGTATCAAGCATGGCGATGAATGGAAAATGGCATTCAAAACTAAGGAGGGCTTATATGAATGGTTGGTGATGCCCTTCGGACTGTCTAATGCTCCTAGCACGTTCATGTGACTAATGAATTAGGTACTCAAACCCTTTATCGATAAGTTTGTAGTGGTCTATTTTATTGATATTTTGGTACATAGCAAATTTAAGGGAGAGCATATACAATATCTACGAGAAGTACTGATGGTACTACAGGAGAACGAGCTTTATGTCAATCTAAAAAAGTGTCACTTCATGACTAATAAATTGAGGTTCCTTGGTTATATAGTTGGTGATGATGGGATACATGTGGATGATCAAAAGATCCAGGCTATTTGGGATTGGCCATCTCCAAAGACTGTGACAGAGGTACACAACTTTCATGGTTTGGCCACTTTTTATAGGAGATTCATCCAAAATTTCAGCAGCAACATTGTGGCCCCCATCACCAATTGTTTGAAGAAAGAGAAGTTCGAGTGGATAAAAGAGGCTGAAATAAGCTTTGCTGAAATCAAGGATAGGTTATCTTCTGCACCGGTACTAGCTTTACCAGACTTTGACAAAGTCTTCGAGCTAGAGTGTGAATGTTTGATGCCAATGGGGTTGGAATCGGTGGTGTTCTATCTCAAGAAGGTAAACCAATAGCCTACTTTAGTAGGGATGGCAATTTTCCCCATCCCTGACGGGGACCCGACTTCCCCAACTTAGTGGGGTCGGGGATGGGGATTGTTTTAGTGGGCGGGGATTGGGACTGGGACGGGGACGGGGATTAATAGGAATCCTCGATCAAGGTCGAGGTTGGGGTTGAGGATGGGGATTGAGATCCCCGCTCCGCCCTGGCCCGGTTATATATATATATATATTAAATGTTATTTATACTTAATATATATTATTATATTATTTATATTGTATATATCAAAACATATTTAAAACATTATATATATTTTAAGATTTTCATTTATTTTTCAAAAAAGTATTATTATCTAAAAAAATTCGAGGATTCAGGTCCCCATGGGGAACCTATCCTATCGGGAATTGGGGATGGAGGACAAAATTTATCCTTGATAGGGATCAGGGACGGGGATGGGGGTTAAGTTCAGAATTGGGATCTGGGATGGGAAATATGACCCCCACCCCGAACCTGCCCCGCTGTCATTCCTATACTTTAGTGAGAAATTAAATGAGGCACGGCAGAAGTGGTCAACATATGAACAGGAGCTGTATGTAGTTATTCGAGCTCTTAAAAATTGGGAGCATTATATTATTCAGCGGGAATATGTGATCTATTCAAACCACCAATCATTGAAGTATTTCAGAAATCAACGACACCTCAACAAGATGCATGCCAGGTGGGCAACTTTTTTAGAGCAATTTCATTATGTTATCAAACATAAATCTGGAGCTTCGAACTGTGTAGCTGATGCGTTGAGCAAACGCTCCACTCTGCTCATCATTATAAGTAATGAAGTTGTTGGGTTTGAGTGTTTGAATGAGCTTTATGAAACCAATGAGGACTTTGGCAACATATGGGAGAAATATACCACCAGACAATATATGGGTGATTTTCTTGTACATGATGGTTTTCTATTCAAGGGAAACAAGATGCGTCTCCCTAGAACATCCTTATAGGACAAGGTGATTCGTGAATTACATGTTGGGTGGCCATGTTGGCAGAGACAAAACAATCAACAACTTGGAAGAAAGGTATTATTGGCCTCAACTGAAGAAGGATGTCAAAAATTATGTGGGAAAGTGTCTTGTTTGCCAAGTTGCAAATGGGCAATCTCAAAACACAAGTCTTTACATGCCTCTACCAATGCCGTTAGAACCTTGGAAGGATTTATCTATGGACTTTGCGTTAGGACTCCCCAAAATTCAAAGAGGAGTAGATTTTGTGTTCGTGGTAGTTGATCGATTTTCAAAGATGGTGCATTTCATTCTTTGCCACAAGACTACTGATGCAGCGCATGCGGAAAAATTATTCTTCTAGGAGATTGTACACATGCAAGGAGTGCCTAAGTCCATCACCTCAAATTGGGACAGTAAGTTTATAGCTCACTTCTAGTTGACTTTATGAAAGTGGTTCAATACTGAACTTAATTTCTGTAGCATGGCACATCCTCAAACAGATGGATAGACTGATGTAATAAACAGAACTCTGGGCAATTTGATTAGGAGCATCTGTGGTAGCAAGCCTAAACAGTGGGACAACACTTTGGCTCAAGCATAATTTGCATTTAATAGCATTGTTTATAGTTCAATGGGGAGATCTCCATTCTCCATCGTCTACACAAAGGAGCCTAGGCATGTTCTAGATCTGGTAATGTTGCCTAACTTTTTGGCATGAGTGTCGTAGCTAGAGCCATGGCTGAACATCACCAAGCTACTATAGCGGAGGTGAAACAAAAGCTAGAAGAGTCCAACGCCAAGTATAAGGCAGCAATTGGCAAGCGACGATGAACGAATGTATTTGATGTAGGAGACTAGGTGATGGTGTTCTTGCGTAAGGAATGATTCCCTGTTGGTACCTACAGCAAATTGAAACCGAAGAAGTATGGTCTCTACTGGATCTTAAGGAAACTCAACGACAAAACTTATGTTGTTGATCTTCTTGAGGACATGAATATCTCTAGGACCTTCAATGTTGTTGATTTGTACGAGTACTTTCCATCTAATGGTCCAGCTTATCTAGAGATTAACTCAGGGATGAGTTTCTTTCAAGTGGAGGGGAATGATACAGAGCATCTTGCAAATAAATACATGGAGCAATTGGATAGGAAGAAATTGCCCAAAAAGGAATGAAAGGATGAAAACGCATAGTCCTACGGAAACACGCAACTTTCTTATTTGTTTCATTTTTTGAGTTTCCTAGTCTTAGTAGAGTTGTCTCATTTTCTATTTGTTTCCTTAGGAATTGGTTTCTTAGTTTAAGTTTGTAATTAAGAGCATATAAAAGGGACCCTAAGCCTTTGTTTACAAGTAGTGAATTTCAAATACAATTTCTTTAGAGAGTTTCTCTTATTTTCTGGCGCATTACCAAAATTTCAACCTAGTGGATTCTAGGTCTTTTCTTATCAGCGTGTAGCTTGCACGATATCAATCTCAATCATGGTTTCCATCCTGCGTCACTAAAGAAAAAAAAGTAACAAGATTAAAAATCGGATACCAACCAGATGGAGAAATCCATGGGGCAGAGCTAGGGGTGGTAGAGGGGAACCATCCCCCCCCCTCCATCCCTATGCCTTGAAACTCCCCCTAGTAGCTATTTAAATCCCACATATATTTTGCCCCTTCTACCCATGGTTCCCATCTTTTGGCCCCTTATCCATGTTTATTACGCTTTGGCCCCCCTCAATAAAATATTCTAGGTTTGATGCTTAAATTCCATCAAAATTAATTTTGATGCCTCTTGCGTGAATGGAAATTGCTCAATTGGTTGCTTTGCAAGAGACCATTTGGGGAAATTAATTGATTTAAAAGCCTATAAAATTGGGATAATTACAATTAGCCTAACTGAGGCTTGGGCTGCTTGGAAAGCCCACAATTTAGTAGGAACTTTCAACAATAGATGTATATCAATTGAAGGAGACTCCAAACTGTCATTGACTGCCTTAAGAACAGGATAAAGATGCTATGGAGATTGAAGACCATCATTGACGACTACAAGATGATATGCCAAAACTTCCAATGAGAATTTGACTCTCAGCATGTCTATAGGGAATCCAATAAATTTGCAGACTGGTTAGCAAATCAAGTCCATATTTCTTCTGTATAACCTGCTTCAATTCTTAGAGCTTTATCCTTTATCAGTTGTATGGATTATTGGGGACGTGCTACCCCAAAGCTGTGTAGCCACTTTTGTATCTCTCGATTTATCAAAAAAAAAAAAAAGAGTTTATGATTGTGGGATATCCTGTCCAACTCTAAGGGCCCACATTTAATGAATATCAACCTACCAAAAGATAAAACAGGGGGGAATTAAGAGGTAAAATGTACATTTCCGTTAACTTAGAAGTTTGTCATCTCTTAAATACAATAATTTCCGCCCACAATGGTTCCTTTCTCAAATATAAATCATTCTTCCTAGACTTGGGCATTTTACCTTTTTTGATGGCGACCTTATGGCATTATACTTCACAACAGCTCTTTGTCATATTGATGGAAGACTCTAACCTTAATAAGCTCAAAGCAATTAGACTTCTTTCTGAAGCAAGTAATAAGTTGTTATGACAAAATGGCCGATCATCCCAATTCTCAAATATTAAGATTCAGTTTGGAAAGGAGTGTAAATACATATGTACTGTACAAAACCTTGTATTTTGTATTTCTAAATATTTCTGCTATAATATCCAAAATCTCATGCTACCATAAATCATTTAGCTAAGAGGATGTAGTTATTTTTGAGTAGTTACTCAAATTCACATGACTGCTACCGGTTAGGTGGTAGAATAGAAAAAGCCCTACACATATATAAGGGAGGATGAGGCAAATTAGTTGCATCCAAACTTTGTTATTAAGATTGATTTCTTCTTAAATCTTCCGTCTAAAAGCTTAATAAATATCAAGTTGTTCTTAAAAAGGCTATTACCCAATGTCGTCGGTCATAGCTTTTTGGGGTCTTAGGTGGGATAGACTAATATTATTCTAAAACTTTGACATTTTTTACACAAAGTGATTGATTTTATGTTTGAACTTTGACATATTCTTGTGCTAGCCAGCCCAAGATTTTACCAAACGATGGCTCGAAAGTAGGATGCTATTCTTATGTTGATAACATTTTCCATCTCCAATATTTTTAGATTATGGTATTCCACTCAATTGGTTATATGGGTAACCTTAATTTAGCTATGAAGTTTCAAAGAAAATTAATAATTTGCAACATAAAAGGGTAAAAAAACTTAAACTTACCCGAAGGTTTTAAAATAGATTTAAAAATATTTTGTGATTTTTTTTACCTTTTATTTCCTTTCAAAATTTCAATAAGAGTCAAAGAGAAGACCATGTAAATAAATTAGGCCTTAGGTGCAATTAAGGGTGTCAATGGACTGGTTTTGGACTGGACCCCATCCAGTCCTAAATCAGTTTGGATGGATTGGATGGACCAACAAGACATATTAGATTAAACCAATCTGGTCCAAATTACTTATTAGATTGGATTGGACCTGGTCCGTCCGTAATAAATTCATATTGGATTGGGTTAGATTAAACCATTATCTAGTCCATTGATATAAGATAAGAATATAGGCATTAATGAACATGGTTTGGATTGAAAACAATCTATATGAAAACGAATTTGAACAGATTGGATGGTCCAGACATTGAATTGGACCGATCTAAAATGGTCCAAAATATTCATTGGATTGTATTGGACCTGATCCATTTGTAATGGACTCACATTAGACTGGAACTCCAATCCAATTTACACCCCAGGGGATGGTATATTAGCACCAAGTGCAAAATGTGACTCCAGTCCAAAACCAAATTATAGCAGATTGATCCAGATTGGCAAATAAATTACCGTGCTTGTCGAGTTAACCCTTCATAGATTCCGGAAAATTAAATAAATGAGGATCTGAAATTTTGTGGACAAAATCTTTTGGATTTGAACTTCAATGTAATGTACCTTCGGGAGCATGGATTGAAGG